TTCAGCAGGGAAATAGTCAGTATGCACAACCTTGTTTTGTTTGGGTCTGTTGGATGTGGGGACTGGATTGTTGTTTTTTCTGGTTTGTGGCTCTTTGGGAATGTTAATGGCTGTCTGCTTTCCTGCCCGTGTAATATCTGTTTACCATTTTGCTGGCTCATAAGTTGGTCATTTGGCACTCGTGACCTAACCAAACAGATCAAAGGCTTTCAAAGGGCAGACTGTATGAGTAGTTCCATCCCCAATGCCCTTATTTTCCCTGTCTCCTCCCTCACCTCAAAACTTAGTCTGTTTGTGCATTTCAACAATGAAACAAACCTCTGAACCAAATGTGTGAGAGCCTGGTGGTCACCTCTGGGCCACCATTAGCTTACAGTAACCTCTTTGCTGTTGGATGGGAACCAGAGACAAAGTGGCCTTTGTTCCAAAGGTTGATTTGTTTGTTTATTTTATTTCAAATGGCTGTGGGCTATGACTCTTCTAATATGTTTCCCAGGGACAAGGTGAAGAATGGCTTCATGGTTTCTTTATTTACAGAGCCTTTAGACATTACAAGTTTTTGTCTTCTTCTCAACACAAAATTAGGAGCACAAACATAAATCACTCAGCTCCTGGGATTGCTGCACAGCAGTCTCATCAGGATTTATAGGAGGCAGACTATATGAGATAATAATAAACTTGTAAGGACACTTGCAACGTGCAGGAATTCTTAAAGCTATTGACTTCATGAGGAAAATTTTGTCCCTCTCTTAGAATGTATGGTGCAACACTGCTGGAATCCAACATCTCCGTTGGGCTCGCAGCTAACAATGGGACTGGGGATATACTCATTTTTTTGGCTCATGAAAAAAGAGTAACTACCCATCATGTGTTACAAATATTGAAAGGTTATAAACACCACCACAAACCATCCTTTTCCAACAATGTGCTTGAACATGTGTTTGAAGTTAAGCAGTACTTTGATTAAGCAGGGGTGGACCAAGCCCGGATGTGAATGGATTGGTTCAGTAGCGACGTACTCTTCTTGCATGGCTGAGTATGGGTGCTGTGGATTCCTGCTAAGTGGAGAGCTACAGCCTTGACAAATCAAGGTCTACAATTAAATACAGTCATGTAGGCTCTGCTGAGTTAGCATCCTAGAAAAGAGAGTGATCAAAGTCATGCCTGGAGACTGCAAAACATGCTAGGCACCAACTCAAGGAACAGAAGTAGACCTCAGTTTAAGATAACTATGGGGGTGTCATAAAGAGAAAAAAATCCATTATGTATAAGTCTTATACTGGAATATAGGAACAGCCATTGAATAGGAGATCTGTGAAACTGTAAAATAGGTCTTAGTGAAGTGATGGAAGTTTCTTGTTTCAAGAAACTGAAAACTATGACTGAGTGGTACATTAGTAAGTCTTATGGAAGAAAACTGAGAAGGTCTTGTTAACATCTAAGCGACAAAGTAAGAAAACAATATTTTTCTGTTATAAAGGTCTACGTATCCATTTCTATATAAACTGCCATGTATCCAGATAAAAGCAGCATAAAATCTTCATAAATGTTTTCTAAAAATGAAAATAAATCAGTGAGGTGTTTCTGTGGTGACCTTATCCTATATGTACATAGCTGGTGAACTGCTCTTGGCCATTCATTTCAGGGCTGAGTGCTTATGCTGTGAAGCAGGTTCTGTTTTTATGGTATTCTGCACTGAATGGAGTTGTACAGTGGCTTGCTAATGTATTTCCTGCAATAGGACCCCAAGTTGTTTAGGATAATTTTTGACCCTGAATGTCTGTTCTTAATCAGCTTTCTCTTGACTCCAGCTTGAGTTTACCATACATGATTGCAAAATAAGTCCCTTTAAGTTTATATATATTTTTTTTTACAGTTTTCACTGAGAATTCAATATTAATAGTTTGAAGGGTTATGTTTGAGACTTTATTTTGCCCACACGTAGAGCATTATGTCATGTCCCCATGATTTCAAGTAGGGGTTTGTTTCCAGTTTCAGGTGGAGCAAGCCTAACACTTTTTGTGTGGTCCCTTTACCAACAAGAATTTGAAGATGACTCCTTGGAACGTACTGACAGATAACTGAAAGAGAGAAATATTCTTTTGTATAGTTGTCTATGGAATTTACTGAACTAGGAGATGAAAGGCTGAATATGCAGTAAAAGGGCTGTATAACTTTCTCACCAGTAAAAGTCAGAAAGGAGACAAATGATGGTGCCAGTCAGGTTTCATACTTAAGAGTATTGTCGTGCCATTTGGGAAGGCACAGCAGCAATGCATGTAGAGGCCAAGAGAGTCTCTCTGCTCTCCCTGCAGTCATTATGAAATTGTTAGCTTAAATGGTATTGGGAGTTTTCTCTGGAAGGCCTCTTCACTGTCCAGCTGCATCAGACAGTATGGACCTTCTGGGCTTTTAGATTGTACTGTATCATATGGCTCAGTGTATTTCATAAAAAGAGTTTTTGGGCTGATTTACCAGAATCAGCTAGAGGAATATAGTGAGATTACACTCAGAATGTTTATGCCTCTTTTGCTGTAGCCTCATTTTATCTGTTCAGTGAACTTTCCTATGTATGTTGCCTCTGTACCTCTGATTATGAAGAATCAGAAAATACTGTGGAAAGACCTGTCAACCACAAGTTAAGCAGGTCCTCTCAGTCTGATGGCACAAATCTTCCTCCTGGAAGCTGTTTTACTGTCTATGCAAATGCACTTCAGGGAGGGGTCATCCTCGTAGTCTGTGGAACAGGATCAGGGCAGTATTCGTGGCTAGAAACACACAGCAGTTAGTGCAGCAATACTAATTTTGTTTACTGATGAATCTGTTTTCACTGTCTGCTTCCAGGGAGCCTATGTGATGGTGTGACCAGTCAGTGTTACTTGCTGCCAGTTTTGGATACTATATTTGTCCGGAGAAAGTACAGAAGAGGTGGCCTAGGGATGAAAATGCTGCATGATTTCTGTCAGTCTTTCCTGGCTGAGGATGCCTTGGGGATCAGCTGCCCTATTTCTGCTGCCATGTATCAAGGTAATTCGTTTGATGTGGAAACGTTAGGTAAGGGTCATGTATAATGTATACATTTCAATCTGGCCTTGGTAGGATTTTCTTAACTGTGTAAGAGTTCAGTGCACTCATCTGAACCGAACTGTTGTTAGCGTGCAGCTGGTTACTCTGCTTGAGACATCTGGAATTTCCTATAGACAGGTAGGCCAATAATTATGTACGACAGTAAGGAGCACGAAATTCATACTGCCTGTTTGACATTTTGCATTCTTATCTTACTCTGTCTTTGAAATAAAACTATGTCATTGCCCCAGACAGTGACTTACCCATTTTGTTTGACACCAGAGGGAAGAGACTCACAAGGCATTGTCAAGCCCACACTATGCACACAGTGCTTTTGTACGTACTGCATTTGTAAGAAGTTTGATTTAATAAGTTGTATACCCAGGCTCTGCTCACTCATCCAGTCACATTGGTATTTGTTTCATTTTGACTGGTTTTGAACATTTGTCACTTTTAAAAGATCACTAAGTAGTTAGATATTTTCTCTTCAGCCTCCTTCAGGCTGAAGTTCTGATTTTGCTAGTGAAATTAATATCTATGCTCACATTATTTATAAAACTGTTTTCTTTAGAAAAGCACTTTTTCCTAAAGTTGCTCTCATGGTACACAGTCTCTATTGTCATTTTTTGGGGAGATGTTTCTATCTTACTTGACTTACGACTTTACAACAATTACTTGATAAACCTCAACAAAATTTTGACTAAATCTGTTCTTTCTCTTGGTCAGTATGTGCCATTGAATGTATACAAATGAACCCCAGGGGTTTCTAAGGGATTGCTGCATCTAAATTCAGGAAGGAAGAGTATAGAGAACATTCCTTGTCTTCTCTCAGTAGTACCCATTTTTCCTGTGGCAGGCATCAATGCTTCAGCCACTGGATCAGAGCTCCACATTGTGTGTGTTAATGCTAGTGATATATTCCAAGCTTATGCTTTCATCTCAATTAAGTTTGGAGCTAACAGTGAAAAAATTTGATTTGTATCATGCTCCAGTTAAGTTTTCTGGGTCCTGCTTTTAGAAAAATACTAATACTGTAAATTTTGAGTATCTTGAATTCACAACCTTTTTTAAAATTTCTTCGGAAGCAAAATCTTATGTTTTGGCAAAAGACTGCAACCTTTAAATCTCTGTACTAAACGTGCACAGTTTTCCCAGGCATGTAATTTAATGTGTTACAGAGGCCTGAAAGGAAGTACAAAGCCATTTAGCAGATATCTTTATTTTGGCATATATGTTGCTTTCAGTAGCTTTTATTGAAATGATTAATTTAGTTTGGATATCCTTGGATAAAACCAATGACAGCGATCTGCTCGCTACTGTAATGCAAATGTTTACAAACCAGAATTAGGGGTTTTGTTTCAACTTCCCATTGTTAAACTCAACTGAATGTTGAAGATAAATTACCCATTCTGTAGTATGGTGAACCACAATGGACAGAGGAAAGCATGAAAACAGTTTTGCTGATTACAGATTGCTGTCCCACTACAGTTGATGGATCTGATAGAACGATGGCTAAGGAAAGTTTAAAAATCCCCCTCAATTTTTTTGAATCATTTGTCCTGCAACATATGCCTCCTCTTGACTCTGAAGACATTCTAAGGAAGCCTCTAAAGACAGATTTTGGTTTGATAACATAAGCATACGTAAAATTGATTATCCAAGTTATATTAAGGTTTGGCATGTACTGACAGTGAGAGGAGTCTGTGGGAATATGGTTTCTAAATGCAATGGTACATCTGACACAGGCACCCCTCTTATTCCTCTGTTAGTTCTTCCTGTTTTCCACACCCAAAGAAGTAAATGACCCCCAGGAACAGAGTATAGGATAGCAGTAGTTAAATGGAAGAGGGTGCTGGCCCGTGAACAAACTGAAATAAAATTTTGTTTATAAATAGAAATGAGAGTAGCATTCTTAATGTTTAAAGCTGGAAGATACTGAAACACCTTTCATTTTAGAGTAGTGAGGGTGAAAATCCCCACACTGCTGTTAGTCTAAAACCTGCTAAATGCCTGGGGGTAGTTCTGTGATACAGTGCCAGAAGAAGGTGCCTCATTAAGTCATTTCAAGTCCTGTATTTCCATGCTCACAAGGAAGTAATCTAGACTGAAGCAGATGGACAAGATTCAGTCCTGCCTGTTTAGGTCATTCCACCTAGACTTTTCCTAAAAGCCCCAGCTAAAAGAAAAAAGAGGAAGATGAGAAGAGAAAAGTTTTCCAAAGGAACCAGTGAAAGTAGGGTTGAAAGAATTTCCAGGATAAAATACACTCCCTCTTCTACTGTAGTTTTCACTCATTCATGCTTTTACTCCTTGATTTCTTCTATTCAGTTTGCCAGAAATTCTTGCAGACTTATCCTGAGGAGCAGAAGCGACTGTGGGAGGTGGAAGCACCAGGAGATTGGAGCCAGCGAGTGAATATCTGGTTAAAAATTCAGATGGAGTCATCCTCTTCAAGAAGTGAGTTAAAATAAAGAGTGTGAGCTTGGCCATGTTAGCCATATAAAGATAAGAAATCAAATCAAGGGTTAGGTAGTGATAGTTCATAGGTGGTTTCTCTGTTATTTGTACGTGGAGAAACTACTGAGTGTGCAGTCCAGTTCACTGGTCTTTTCCCAGTAAACAGGATGATTCTTAGAAATTATGAGGTAATGAAATTGAACTGCAGAGCATCTGAGAGATCCTGAACAAAGCACAGTCTTGGCATAAAGTGGCTGTAACTCCCATCACAGTGCACTTACAGCAGGGTAGAAGATAGCCCCAAAAATTCCTGTTGCACAACATGATGTCTGGTTTATAGAGAGGGGTTTGTTTCTCTGAAATTGTTACAAAGAAGAAATTTGTATGGCCAATGGGCAATGTGTTTAATTACCTTCAGTTTGCTGCCAATCCCATTCTTGGATGGAAACACAAACATTTTCATTATGGCTTTTGGAAGATTCAAAGTACTCTCCTACAGGGTAAATCCTTCTTGCGGGGACCTTTTTCTGCCTACCTCACAAAAGGTAGCCACAAAGTAGGCAAACCTTTTGGCAGTTCATATGGGGATCTTGTTGATGTAACCTGTTCAGATGGCTTGGGGATCCAGACAGGCCCCTCTGCTGCCTGCACACAAGCTGTGATAAACATTACGTTCCAAAAGAAGGGCACACTTTGTCTCTTTCTGGAAGCACAGTAAGGAGGGCTGCAGAGCAAATTGCTCCCATGCTTTCCCACATCTATCCTGCTTTGTATTGGCTTGGGGACCTTCAGTTGAGACATTGTGTTTCATGTTGTCTGCAGCACCCCACAGGAGAGTTAAGTCAGAATTTAGCCCTAGGCTGGGTTCCTCTGAAGCTGTTATGTTTATCTTCCTCATGCTTTAAACCAACAAAAACTGGTATTTTTCTTTCCTTTAATCCATCTTGCTAAATTCAGTTTATTAATGGCAATTGAAGAGGACTATGATCAAATCAACAAACAGAAAGCTGTTCCTGGAGGAGAATGTACTTTCCTTTTTTCCTTTCCTCCTTTTGCCATCTTCTACAAAACCAAACAAATAAAGAGAAACAACCCAGAACATGGGCAGATATAATTCCACCAGAGCAGCTATCAGTAAAAAAAACACGTGAAGCCTGGGAACTGCCTTGGCCAGTTCTGCATGTAAATGAGGTGTCTCATACCTACAAGAAGAGGAAGGAGAGAAAGTGTAAACGAGAAGTGGCAAGGGGGGATTTATATGGATTGTGAATTGTAGTGTGGTCTTTATAGTGGAAGGGAGCAGAAGCAAGTGAATTTGGCACTAAAACGTATAACAAAAATCTGCTTTTTAAATTATGTTCTCCATTCGATGCACAGCTCACTGGGCATCACTTCCCTTTACACTGAATGTGCTGATCAGGCTTTTCTTCATCCATCCTCAGTGAAAAATCAACCTGCTATAAAAACAGTGTTTAAAACAGTGTGTAATACATTTATTGTATCTGTTTTGCATATGCTATCTACTTGTGTGCTGCTTATGAATGTATTATCCTGGTACTGTGTGTATCATGCACCCAGGGAAATACTGAGGGGAGAGACCAGGACAGATAATGCCTGCTAAAACTTGGGGAGTTTCCCTGGTTTTGCTTTGTCCTAAAGGCAGCATTAGTCCTGCATAGCTCTCTCTGATAAGCTGGTGAGGAAGTAACAAGAGAATTTTCCAGGGCTTCATGCTATCTCTTAATAGCAGATAAAGCAGAAACATTTTATGAGTGCAGGGATCCTTTATTACCTGCCCTATTCTGCTGCTGTACCAAAGAGAAGTTTGTGCTTCCAGAGCTGTGGTCTAGGGCCACAGAGAGGAGAATGGCATGGCATAGAGTGGAAGCCACTGGAGTTATGTGCTTACATGTTCCATATAGGCACAGTCGTTTAGATCGTCCGGGAGTCTGCAGGTGACACCAGGCTGAGTGGTGTGGTTGACACACCTGAGGGACAAAATGTCAACCTGAAGCTTGAGAAGTGGGCCTGTGTGAACCTCATGAGGTTCAACAAGGCCAAGTGCAAGGTCCTGCACCTGGGTTGGGGCAATCCCCAGTTTCAATACAGGCTGGAGAGGCGTGAAGGGGTTGAGAGCAGCCCTAGTGAGAAGAACTTGGGGATATTGGTGGATAAGAGCTGGCAATGTGCACTCACAGCCCAAAAGGCCAACTATATCCTGGGCTGCATCAAAAGAAGAGTAAGTAGCAAGTTGAGGAAGGTGATTCTGCCACTCTACTCTGCTCTGGTGAGACCCACCCCATCTGCAGTGCTGTGTCCAGCTCTGGAGTCCTCAGCACAGGAAAATCATGGACCTGTTGGAGTAGGTCCAGAGGAGGCCACAAAAATGGTCTGAGGGCTGGAACCCCTCTGCTGTGAGGACAGGCTGAGAGAGTTGAGGTTGTTCAATCTGGACAAGAGAAGGGTCTGTGGAGACCTCATTGCAGCCTTTCACTGTGTAAAAGGAGCCTATAAGAAAGAGGAGGGCAAAGTTTTTAGCAGGACTTGTTGCAATAGGACAAAGAGTAACAGTTTTAAACTAAAAGAGAGGAGACTTTGGCTAGGGATAAGGAAGAAATTTTTTACAGTGAGGGTGATGAGACTCTGACCCAGGTTGCCCAGAGAAGTGGTAGATGCCCCATCCCTGGAACCATTCCAGGTGAGGTTGGATGGGGCTCTGAGCAACCTGCTGTAGGTGAAGATGTCCCTGTTCCCTCTAGAGGGGGTTTAGACTAGATGACCTTTAAAGGTCCCTTCCAACCCAAACTATTCTGTGGTTCTAAGATATGATCTTCAGGGGAATATAGTGCTTCATTCCTACTTGCCCTGTTATGTAGAAAACCAAACACAATATAATTCAATATTGCCAGCTCCAATCTGGATCTATGGCAACAAGCATGAAAAGAGACAAATCTTATTCTGCTCCGATTTCTTAGATCCCCGTCGACATTTGCAGTGCTATGTTTGGAACAAAATTGCTAAGAAGGAAAATTGGAAGTTCTGCTTATATTACATTTCCCCCCCCTCCAAGTGCTCAGGATTGAATACTGTTAATGTTGTTGTAAGAATTCTGCAACCGTAGATATTCCAAAAAAAGGTTTCTGTAACCCTGAGGTCAGAAGTTAAAATTTTGCAAGGTTATGTGGCTGCATCTAGTGGCAGTACAGAAAAACTGCAGCACTCTCTTTGCTGCAGCTGGTACTTCAGTATGGATGTGCACGGATACATGGACATACTCACTAGCAGAACTTTCAAGCTAGGGAAGACCCAGAAACATTTTGTTTCTAGTATATTTTTTTCACCTTAGTCTTTTATGGTAATGTCGTCAGGCACCCTGGTTTGATTAATTAACAAAAGCAAGGCAAAAGGGGTTGAAAGTAGCATTCAGGTGGCTTTTTCTGATGTATTTTTAAGTGAAAATTGCCATGGAAGTCTGTGCACAGTTTTTTCCTTTTTAATCTCTTTCTGGGGTAAAACTACTCCCCCCATTCCTCCATGGGCTCTTGTATGAAGGATGCTCAAACTAGTGAACTCAGACAATGATATGTAGAGCAAATGAATAAGGTACAGTGAGTAATTTGCTATTTTATGACTTTCTTTTTCATTGGTGGCCTTTTCCCTTTTTGGTGAAGTAGTGGGGTTTAAATATGAGAGACCATCACGGGCAACTATAGGTGTTTTTTACTACTGGCCCATAGGTTTATGTGTATAGCTATATAGGTGTATATATATATACACACACACACATATAATTGATTCATATAGCTAATTCATATAACTATAGTAGTTTGAGAGGCTAAAGACTATGGGATTGTTTTCACTAAATGTTTTAGTTTGATCCTTACCAAGATAAGGGAACTAACCAAGGGCACACAGGGAATTCCAAATTTTTTCTATGTAATGACTTCTGAACTGAACTGTCATTTTTCCTGTGCCTGTACAGGGACTTGGCTGTGACACCTTTAAAATGAGTAACCCAAGATCTTTATGGTCCTAATTATTTTATCCCACTACTGAGCCACAGATCTGACTGTACTTAGCTTGTTGGAGGATGGAGGCCTAAAACAGGCTGAGAGGTTTGAACAAAGCCTAAACCTAGGTAGGGGCACAGGTATCTGAGAGAACAAATCACAGTAATGAAGCTTTTACAAGTAGTAAAGAAAAAGGAGAGACGAGTGGAAGCAAACCAAAAAGCTGTAGGGGTTGTTTCCCCAGCACATTTTGGTTGCTGCACAATTAAATCAGTTTGTTTTCTTCAGACATGGGTCTCCTGGGGTAGCTGTGAGAGTGCTGGCCCCCTGTGGTGCACACTCTTGTGTTATGGGCTGTGGTCATGGCTGCAGAACCCACCCAGCCAGATCAAGGCTCCCTCTGCTCCCAGTTTGTTTTTTGCTGTTGCTTCTGGTGACTCAGGCAGAGCAGCAGGAACGAAGCTGTTCTATACCAACAGTGCAGTGGAGTTTCTTGCCTTGCATGCTTATGGTGGCCTTGGTTGACAGAAGCATTTTATATTAGGATTAAGTCACTGTTTAATGTTGTTTGTGTATAATTTGGTGTTCCTTCTGTCTTGGTTTTAATTTCAGGGTTTTGAATACATTCCTGATGTTGGGAAAGTGGCAGCAGATGCCACGGGGGAAAAAAAAAGATGACACTGCAGCAGCATGGACTCTAAATTCAGAGGGTCCTGAAGAAAAGGACTTAAACCAAGGTGCTGGCAATACTCAGCAATGCAAAGGATTCAGAAGAAGAGCAGGCCCTGGGGACGTAGCTGGAGACAAGGACACCAAACAATTTAGAGTTATACCATAACTGCACTTTCAAAAATCAGCAAAATCTCCTTCTGGTCTTAAAAACTGTAATTGACTGTTCATAATTTGTAACACTGGAGAGATTTCTTTAGGTAAGCTATCATTTTTTTTTTTTTGCAAAACACATGTTCTCCATCCTGTGTTTTGTTTTAAATAAAGCTTTTGTTTCCTAATTGTCCTTTTATTTTTCCTCTCACCAAGTAATTAAGTAGTGGTTGAGCCTAGTTATTTCCCTGCTCTGAAAGGATTTTACTGGACTGCATGAAATATCCAAAAGGGAATAATTGGAGGGCTTGTAGACACTGATGTCAGAAGATATTTCTATGGAAACCACATCCTGCATTATGGAAGAGAGATACTGCAACACACGTTGGTATCAGAATGACAGCTGTAACCTTCCTTACAAAGAGAAGAATTGATCTGGAATTGCTTTCATTTGAGTTTTTCTAGCAGAAAAAAAACTGCCTTAAACCCAATGGTGGACAGGATGGCATGTAAACTCTATCAATGCAGAAAAAAATTGGTACAGAGAAGACTAGTGATCAACCTACAAGCCTTAAACTGCCTTTAAATTCAGGGCCTGTGGTCCTGTGTAAGTTCAGGGTGTAGAACTTTGTGTACATTACATATTGAATATTTTATTTCCTGTAGGCTCTTTCCTAGTTAGTGTTTTGCATTTAATTAACTTGGAACTATAACACATTTCACTAGTGTGCTCATATTATGTCTTGGTAAGGAAATTTTGTTCTTTCGCCACAAGCTGTATTAGAAATTTATTTTGTTTGTTTGTTTTTAGTGGGGAATTTCTAAAGCTTGAATGTTGTATTACTGATTACAGGTGAAACTCTTAAAGATCAGATCTTTAGACCAGTGGCAGAGAAATCTTTCCAAAGAGGCAGGCTCAGTAGTGAACAGCAGTAGAGTCTGGATGAACCTCAATAGATCCAGCAGCCTGTAATTCTGAGGTAGGTGCCTTGGAACAAGGAGAGGTAACTATTTCTTTCCAGAAACTAATTCAGGATTTCCAGGGAGACAGTTCTGTAGGCAGGCATTGTAGGTACACTGTAGGGTTGTACCTTTCCCCCTGTATGGCATAATGGCTCACACATAGCCCTGCCACTGTTTTTGTTTAAGGTCGTGATTTAACATAGCATTTATTCCTGTATACAACTGACTCTTCCTCTGTTGAGCTGCTCAGTAAACCATATGTCTAAGACACTGAAATCAGACCTTTCTAGCATGTCTTAAAAAAAAAAAAGCTATAATTGGAACTTAGAAGTTTTTGCCAAGAGAATTAAAACACTGAATTGTGTGCCAGCCATAATCATGTTGCTATGGTTCTCTTGTCTCAAAGAGAATGCATTTAGGATTAGCTTTATAATCAGTTGATCTTCAGGTTTTTGATTCATCAAATCACAAAGGATATGCTATAAAGACTGCTAGAAACTGCATGCCCTCCTTTGCAGCAGCCTATGTTCTTACTTAATGTATGGTTAAATACATACCTTTAAAAAAAACACCCAAACCAAAGAGCACCAATATTTGTGGAGTTGCAATAGCAGTTGCTCCCGAGTATGATAGAAAATTATTGTATCTCCCCTCATGAAAGCTGATTCTGGAGTTGCAGTAGGTCACCAAATATCCTTATATCCTCCTCATGTCCAGTTTGCACATAACTGCCTATAACTGTCAAAGTAAGGGAAACTGGACTTGTTCCAGCAAGTGGGGACTATTAAGAAGTTTAATCTGGTTTAACTTTTTCAACAAAATGTTATCTAAGAAGGCCCCAAGAAGCTCTGTATGAATTTGTATTAGAATAAAGAAGATGGATCAGGTATGGTGTGTGGAATGGGCAGACAACTAATTTGATTAAATTCATTCTATATCTGGGGACACTTTGAGTCACAGGAGAAACCAGCAATTTTTCAGTATCCCCGAACTGATTCTCCTGTTTCACCTTTTCACCTATTATTCAGTAATCCACTGGCTGCATTAATAGTCACTTTGCTGGCTGTTCTCATGGAAAAGTTGCTTTTTTTCCTGTCTAAGAATAGTCAGCCTTAGCTTTTTGTTTTCTAAGTAAGGTTTCTTCATCAAAAATTCTCATGATGGCAACTTGGCATATTATAGAAGTAGGCCAAGGTGAGTTTGAAGAGGAGGTGCTGGCAGATGGCTTGGTACTTTCTAATCAAAGAAAGTGATCATGTCATCCTTCTAATCAGAACTTGTGACAATTAGAGATGTTCTACATTCAGTTGTCCTGCCCTGCCTGGCAAATGAAACACACTGAGCAGAAACAGTAGGATAAGAAGACACAGACATTTGCCCATTATCTATATCCAGTAAAGAAGCAGAGCCAGGGCTTCTGAGATCCTACTTATCGGTACTGAACTCCTGGGCTACGGGTTGCAAGAGGACACAGGCTTGCTCCATAGTATTTCAGAAATGCTGACTTACAGAACAATCAGTCTGAATATGGATTTTCTTTTTTTAAAAAAATTTGTTTGTTTTTGTTGCTGTTGATCTAGTAGTGCTTTAAGGTGTCTGGTTAATTTAGAAGCTTGGACCTGCAACTTGTTCTTGGCAGTCTGGAGTGCTCCTTAGTGAGATCACAAGAATCCTAAGAGGGTCTGAAGCAGAAACAGATCCAGCGTCTTCATTGTTCTAATCAAACATGATAGGAAAAAAACCCAAACCAATCAACAGCACAAACATCTTTTTCTCACAGTGAAAGTTCTTTTCTGTAGAATAAATCTGGATTTACTCAAGGGTAGGATGGTTTCAGAGTGCCGGAAAAGTTGGCAAAGGCTTGAAAGACCATTCCAAGTTTTGGAGTTCTGTTTTCAAAGCCTTGGATTTAATCTCTGAATCGACACTCTGGCAGTTGTGGCTTGACATGATGGTATTTCTGCTTAGGAGACAAGGAGGTAAGTGTGTGTGAGAGAGATGGCAGACCTGCTGAAAGGAAATTTGTATCTATTGTTCTTACAAGTGCAGACACTTCAGTCTGTCCAAGAAATAAGATGTTAGACATCAGCGTTAGTGTTAGCAGTGATCTGGGTGGGTGTGTGCCAGCTAAATAAAATATTTGACTCGCTCTCAAGACAAGTAAACATATGGATTTTAAGGCAAGACATTTCATTCTGTTAATCTGTCATGATGTTTCACATAGCGCACGCCAGACAATTTCATGCATGGTTGCTGTATCAGAAATCATTGGTTTTGGTTGGAACAACCCATTTCTTAGAAAGATTGTTTAGATTTGACAGTTTTGATTTTCAGATGTTGGGCAGTGGGAAATCTGCCACGTTCATTGGCAAGTTGTTCTAAAGTTTTGTGTTTACAAGTGCACCCAATTATTTTAGTCAGAATTAATTTTCTTTTAGTCTCCTGTGATGGATTTTGCTTTTCTGTTTAATGCTGAGCTATGGCTCTGGTACTATCAAGATTCTTTCAGTGTGGGGATGGATACCCTGTGGTCCATCACGGCATGAGTGCACAGCACTGGCTTTTGGATCTGTGTCTGTGAGGTAGATTTTCTTGACCTTGATTAATTCTTGCCCTTTCAGAGACGTTTTCAATTTTTCAAGTTCCTTTTAGAAGCCTGAACATCATCAGACACCCAGTTCTACTGACCATTATGGGTTAGCATTTCCCAGCTGCTATGGCCTGTCAACCATCACGGGATTCTTTTGTGATTGTGGGTGTATTAATGGCGCACTATAAAACAAATTACATGGAGGAATTAAGAGGTACCTGCTCTAGTGTGTTGTCTTTAGTGGCCACAAAAGCTGCAGTGTACTGCTGGAAAGGAAGGCAATCCTGTGTTGTCGTTACTATTACCACGAGATGGCACCATTACATAGCGTAATATCGTCAGCATCTCCGGGGTGCTTCAGACGGTGCCCAAGATTTAAACCCATCACCAGCTGGCTTGACTTCTTCAGAGCAAAGAGACCAGCTGAGAGAAAGGAGGAGGAGGGTGTGTTAAACCTTGTCCTGTGTTTGCTGTTCATGGTATCAGTGGAGTTTGTCTCAAGAGGTCCCTGGGCTGATTTTTTCAAATATTTGTGAAACCAAGTTGAACCCCTAGAAGGACACAAAATGCAAACTGCCCCCACGTTGTGCCCCATCGTATTCTTGCCTCATCAGGAAGCCTGGGTGGGATTTTTCCATGTTGTATTTCATGATTTCCCAGCATGAGATGTTTCTGGCTCAGTTGTTTGACAGGTAACTTGAGCATCTAATTATCTATTTCTGTCCTTTCTCTGCCTACTACATACTTTGCATTGGAGTACTACTGAGCACTTTCTATGTCTTTTTTTTTTTTTTTTTCATGTAATAACAGCTGTGATGTGATATTCTGTTAATATTGTCAGCATTAGAAAAGCAAGGGTGGTCAATATTTGCCCTGAAGGCTAAATTTCTTTCTTTGCTACTGTGTTTTATATGTGACCATTCTGAAGGAGAGAAAAACAGATTAAGTAAGCAGACAATTTTTATTTTATTTTGTTTAAAATGATAATGTTTAGCTTAATTGAGAAAAGAAAACTTCAGTGCAAAGATAAAGTTGTGCATTAAAGGCAGCTCTCCCTCCTAATCAAAGATTGCAATGCAAACATTTCAAAGCAAGTCATTCTCTGTTCTTTCACTTGCTCTTTGAAAGCCCAACTCTATTTTTGGGGTGATTTCCCAGTCCCCCAGGCCTGCAATATCACACTCCCTGATTCCTAGGACATGATACATCTGTCTGCTAAAGGCAGGAGCTCTTTGCAACTCAGACTTTATCACATCAGTAACTTGGCCAGTATCCTTCCCTCCCATCTCTGTTTTGTCATTAGTGTATTATGGGATCTGTTTTGGACACTCATGGACTGCTCTTGAAGGATCTGCTACAAGTCCTCTTATAGGAACTTCTGCTGTGGAACCTTCTTTCTGATGTGTTTTTTTTTTTTTGGGGGGGGGGAAATGTCTAGAGGTTTAGAAATACAAATTAAACAC